GTTTTTCTATTCTGGTGGGGACTTAAACCTGAATACACACAGACTCATGGGGACTCGTGTCACGGTGGGGACCTAAATTGAGGTCCCCATGGGTAAACAAGCTAATAAATCACACAGAATTAAGTTTTTTGAAAATCTAAAAATGCATAAAGTTTCCTGTAAGGGGTAGGTTTAGGTGTAAGGCAATAGAATATACGGTCTGCAAACCAGACATATGTGTGTGTGTGTGTGTGTGTGTGAGACAAACCCTAGAGACCCGTCCAGCTGTGAGAGCGGAAAGTGACAAAATGCCTTCAGACAAGCTGAGAGCAGCTGCCGAAATACGTCACACTGGCGTGAGGAAGGCCGTCTGTTTTAGAGCCATGACTAACAGGGTTTAAAAAGGTGAAGCATTAATAAGCGGTCACAAACCCAGCAGAGATTAACCCACATTCACGTCTTAAGCGTTACACTTTGAACTGCTATTGATATCAACCCGGTGTAACGCTGGATAAAGACTAACTGCCTGGCTGTCAACAAGTCAACTGTTACATCAGTCAAACTTTTCCCAGTAGGTTTAGGAACTACATGAATGCCAGTTTAGACTAAATTAACCCAGAACCGGAAGAGGAAATGGAGAAGGAGTCAAATGTGTTGGACAAACCTAAATGCAATGTGACTTACTGTTTGAGGGTGCTGATTTTGGAGTCCATTGACTCCTGCTTGCCCTTTATGAGCTGGACATCTGTGATCATTTTAGACATTTCTTCAGTGTTCAAGTCCTCGTGTTTAATATTTGACACCTGCAAACGGACACAATGAAAACGTCAAAGATACGGACTGAGGAGTGTGCATGTGTGTGATTGGAGGGCTGAGTAGAGTCTGTCATGACCCGTTTCTGAACCCTCGCATAGTGGAAAGCATGTGTTAACTGTTTGATTTCCGCCCCGAGCTGGACATTTGGACAGAGCGGGAGAGGAAACACTATAAATCGGAGGGCTGGAAAGTGGCGTCGATGGAGCATCAGAGTGACGCCAGATTAAGTGCCCCAGAACCTCGGCCTCTAATCCACGCGTCTCCAGCTGGCTTCCTCTCAGACCTGCTGATTATCTGTCACTGAGCCAACGTGAAAAAGAGGGACACCGGGATTCAAAGTGGCCCGAGGAAACCCAGCAGCGCACATGGAAACCATCACACACAAAAAACTTGATCTGGTTACCAATGACCAGACTCAGAAACTTCTGAATGGAAATATACAAACCACAAATATCCGAACAGAAGTGGAGTGTTTCTTAAATGGTCTGGTTAATTCCTGCTTTCCATTTACTCCATTATGCTAAATATATTTTGAAAATTAATTTATGTTTACGACCATCATTTAGATTTACATTAAATTTAGTAAATGTGAAAGAATAGGTTGAAAGATGATAAAAATAAAATGATATAAAATAAATTTTTAATATTTAGTAAAATATTTCTGGACCCTAGTTTGAAAACCTTGTCCAAGTGTCCAAGAACATATTTATTAAAGTCAGAAAATGGCAAATATATCACTCAAATTGATCAAGCGTACATGACAGAGGGAAAAAAAAAACCTTCACTGCTAGTTACACACCTATAGTACAAACTACATGTAATGTTGGAAAGCCTTTGCTAGAGTCCAGTAAGAAAAGTTCATTTATAATCCCACTTTATTATGTTTTCCCTGTGGGAGAACATAATTCTGGCAAATGTTTATTCATACGTGAAATGCTGCAGGTTTCAAAGCCAAACATGAGCAGCAGGGAATCCCCCAAAACCCAGATCAATTCAGACCGCATTAGAAGTCTGGCATCATGACTGTGTCCTAAATGAGCTTCAGCCTGACTGTAGAGCTGCTTTGGATAAAAAAAAAACCCTCCGAAATACCAACTAATTGTAAGATCATTCAAAACTCAAGGTCACTGTGGCTCCTCTCTCATAAACACCCCGCTCATATATTCTCAGATGTTTCAGGAATCAGGAAGGCCATCAGGAAGATGAGTTTCTACCTACCGTTGTGACTTTCCTCTTGATGTTCTCCAGCAGATGCTCCTGTCCGCGGATGAAATATGGATGCTGGAATTCTGTGTCATCTTTCTCTGGTTTTACCAGCCCACCCTGCTCGATATGGACAACTTTCCGAAAACCATCTATGAGGAATATATTAACATGTTATAAGCACAGATATCATATATTAACTGCTTTTGGCTTTAAACTCAATAAGTTTTTAAGCATATAAAGAATACAGCACCCAAAATAAGCATCTGAGCACCTTGAAAAGTGCTCTATAAATAAAATGTATTATTATTATCAAATATATCTAAACGGTTAAATGTGGACAATCAGGGACTAACATAATGAAACACTGTAAAGCGGTTTTGAGACAATGTGTTTTGTGAAAAAAAGCTATAGAAATAAACTGACTTAACTTAAAATATTGATATTCATCCACATTTTTGGATTTTCCAACAAAAGAAAAATGAAAATCGTCCATATTGACTGCACCCAAAGTCAGCCTAAACATTTATTCTAAAACTAATCATTAGGCATAAAACTTCATACATATTGTGCATAATCAAACCAAAATCAGAATTTATTTTCAAAGCACTTTAAAAACCATAGAGTGTACCAAAGTGCTGTACAATTAAAAAAATACAATACATAAAATAGAGAAAAATAAAATATCAAATTAAAGATTAAAAAAACATCACAAAAACATCTGCTCAAGCTTAATGATCTTTAAAAAGAGCTGGTCAGTTAGATACAGAATTCTCTTATACTTACACATATTGAGCTGGCGAACAAAACTGGCCATGTTATTGTGCTTAAAATATTTCGGCAGAACCTCTTTGGAAAACCTGCTCTGGTCGAACACATGAAAGCTGTTGCCGCTCTGAAAACACATCAGAAATGATTGAAACATCAACAACAGATCAACAAGATGTCCAAAGATTCCAAACAGCTTCAGTTCATTCTGAAATTGAGATTTGTAGCCTTTCCAGAAGGTAAGCATCAGGCAAATCCACTTATAATACTCCATCCAGATTTAGACAAGTGGCAAATACTATTCATTCAATACTTTTTACACGTTCTTATCAGAGTTTCTTTTGTGTCTCTGGCTTAAAGGAGACATATTATGCCCCTTTTTACAATATGTAATACAAGTATCTGGTGTCCCCAGAATGTGTCTGTGAAGTTTCAGCTCAAAATACTCCACAGATCATTTATTATATTATTTAGAAAATGCCTATTTTGAGTGGAAGCAGAAACACGCTGTTTTTCGTGCCTGTCTCTTTAAATGCAAATGAGTTGCTGCTCCCCGCCTCCTTTTCCAGAATAGAGCTGCGTAATATACAGTAAATAAATTGATAAATCCACTGCTCTGTTGTCTCCTCTGAGGCTGGGACTCTAAATAGTGTTCTGTGCTCGTCTGTGCGGCTAAAGACAGAACAGTTAGCATGATTTGCTCAAACTTGGCTTTAGAACTAGTACACCGCTGTCGCTTGCGAAAACACAATAACGGCGCCGTGGGTGTAAACTTACAGATTAAGGGGCGGTAATATTATAATGAGATCCCTTTGCCACGTCACCAAGGGAGCGAAATCAGCGTTTTCTCAGAGGCTTGCAGAAAAAGGCTTCCCAAAACAAAGTTACTGGGTTAATCTTTTTCAGGTTTCCTTGGTTGGTAGATGCACCCAGGGACCTGATTATAGCACTTAAAACCTGGAAGTCAGATTTTCATGATATGTCACCTTTAAGCCTAAACTGGTTCATGACGACTGAATATAAACCAATAAGCAAAACTATCTCAGGCCCTTTTACCCCAGGTATGAAATCCTGGCCAGGACGCGTCCTGGGAAAATGGCACGTATGGTCACCCTAATCAACAGGGCCACTTATAACACAAGGTAAAAGCTACAGTAAAATTCAGGTCCCTGTGCCTCCATATCAGAGGTTATTTTAGGCCTACACTAGCTCATCACAGATGAATCCAACTGCAATCCAGTTCTGTAAACCTTCCTCAAACCATCTGAAAGCCACGATCAGCCTCGGAACTCACAGGACTCCAGCAGATTAACGGGTCTGTGTCCGGATCCTCCACCAGCGTCCAGAGTTTGGTCAGAAACGCAGGTACATTACTACCCGAGACCATCACACCTCCGGGCCCCACACTGTGATACTCCATCACAGATAGTTTAGTGATTGTTTCTGACGACAATTACTCCTCTGTTATGAGTCACTGATGAAGAGCAGAGTTACACACTCAAAGTGTGGCTGTACGAACGCAGATTACACCAATCTATTTCCACCTCGAAGTATCCGGATCCCGTATAGAGAGCGATATATAGGCTTAAATTAATTTAGATAAGTGTTTTTGATCATTCAAAAGTAGTGGAAATTTCCATTAAATCCCCACAGCGTACAAACTGCGTAGAAACGAGCAGCGCTGAGAAGAGTCGCGCTCTGATGACGCCACCGCGACGCGTCTGTAAAAATATCGTACTTTTTTTTTAATGAGTTTAGACACAAAATACATATATAGAAGCACATAAAATGTTAACTGTAATTGTTTAAATGTGTTTAAAATTATAAATTTGTACAAATAAAAGGTTTAAATGTGCACACGTTCACCGTTGAACTTTAACCTTTTGCTTCAGACGCAGTTTTAATAAAACGCACTCAAATCGAAAGCATTATATATATTTTTAGAAACGACAGATTGTTAGTAAATGTAGATTAAGGAATTTTTAAAAGAGACTGTATAAAAAATAGGTAAAACAAACCGACGGCGTCGCCGTTTGACCTTTGACGTCATAGATTCAAACCCACATGGTCGCATTTTCAGCATGCGTCCGACGCACAGCGGCACCATGACTAAATTAAAAAATAAGAAACGAAATTTAGAAGAGAATGAAGACGAACAGGTATGATTTGATATTATACTGATATAACGTTGTTTTGAAGCAGTAAGAGGCAGTTTATACATAATAACACGCGTGTTTATATAGCGCGAGGTTGACGAGGTATTCTGACTAGATGAGTTTGAGATTAATAGTACAGAGTGATGTATTTGCGTTTGTATTACTTATTTAATTAATATTAGTAGACTGTCAATAGACACTTGTGTTTACAAAGTACGCGCCCCGCTTTCCCTAACCTCGGTTATTTGTATACTGTATTATTATATTTTATTATATACTTTGCAGTCAAAAGTTTGGAAACACTTGGCCAGGTATATATTTTTCATGTCATTAAAAACCTTATCATTTAAAATTAGGTTGCAGACAAGTATGAATTGTGCTTTTGTAGGAAATTCATTATCAAAAAGCAAAATTTGGTTTAAATGTGTTTTATTATTATGCAGTAATGAGTGTGTTGTGTTTGTTTTGATGCATTTGTGATGGTCTTTCTTTCTCAGCTGCCCATCTTTGATAAGGACGGCGGTAAAGATGCTCATCTAGATGATGGTGATGAAGATCAGGGTGATCTGTCGGACAGTGAAGAAAGCGTCTTCTCTGGGCTTGAAGAATCAGGAAGTGAGAGTGATGATGAAGAGGAAGATGAAGAGGATGGTTCTGAAGGAAAGAGCTCTGACATAGAGGAAGATAAAACAGCCGACGGTGATGGAGACGATCAGCTGTCTGCCAAAGAAGTCATCAAACCTCAGGTACCGTGAACCAGCATGTTGACACTTTTTGGTGGAGATTTAAAGTTGCCTTTTAAGTGGTGAAATCCACTCTTAATTTGAATATTGATCAGGACTGATAGTGTGCAGAAGATAGATTTATGTCACACAACTTTAAAAAACATTTTGATGTACTCTGGTGATATGAGATTGTGTTTTGAAGGATACATTAAAAGACTTGGTCCATAAAGTTCTAAATACTCTGGTGCATATAATCATACAAAATATCAGAGTTGTAGACCATAAACACTGGCTTATGTTATATATTTTTTCTTTAGCCCATGGCTGCACATTGATGCCATCAATAAATGTATGCACAGAAAGTTTTAGTTGCAAAAAGGCATGATATTATGCCATATGCATCTTCAAAGTCTGCAATCATCTACATCAGTGTTTCCCAACCGGCGTGTAAAAAAATCCTTTTTTAATATTTTTAAATTGCTAAAATGTAAGACCATAAACACTGGCTTATGTTATATATTTTTTCTTTAGCCCATGGCTGCACATTGATGCCATCAATAAATGTATGCACAGAAAGTTTTAGTTGCAAAAAGGCATGATATTATGCCATATGCATCTTCAAAGTCTGCGATCATGTACATGCACAATTTACTATTAGCAGTCTTGATGTTTGAGTTGCAAAAGGCCAATTAAGAGACTAAGTCTTTTCAGCAGCATGAATAATCTCACTGACAGAAATATTCATTTTAATCAAACCACAGTATGCCATTGTGTGTATTTGTGCTGCTTGTAGTGATTTCAGTGCTGAAAATAGAGGGAATATTATCATGATTAGCTGGTAGTTGGAAGTTCTGAATTGTTCAGATATGGTAATTTGCCTGAAAGTTTGAGAGCCACTGGTTTTCTGTTATATACTATGTTTGCAGCTCATTGTCCTGTACAGATGTGATTTCCATTAGAACTGTATTTGTTATTGCCAAATGTTTTGCATTTAGCTGGCTTTCTGTCATATGGAGGACATGGCGTTAAATCATAAATAAATAAATCTGTCATATGGAGTGTCACATTTCTAGACGGTGTTTTGGAATATACTGTGATTCCAAAGTTAATTTGAACACTTCAGCCAGACAAATGTCTGCATGTCATCGCATTTTGTAACCTGATATCAAAGCCGCTTGCTTTAAAGAGAAACACTAGTATTTGCATTTATTTATTTAGCAGATGCGTTTATCTAGATATCTAAAGTGATTATAAGGAAGCAATAACATGAGAAGTGCTAAAAATACAACGTTTCAAATAGGGGTCGACAGATGTGTGTTTTTCAGGGCCGATGCCGATTATTACAGACCAAGTAGACCGATAATCGATATTTTGAACCGATATACTGTATATGTCTGGTGTAAACATTAAAATTAATGTCAAAATTAAGAATAACAAGGGCTCTGACAAAAACTGCCTTCACTGGTGTTGGTTGTACTTCTTACTCTTGTCTTCTTCCGTGCATCCATCTACAATAAGGGTAATATAAAGAGAGAGTTAAAAGTGGGGCCACTGTATGCTTCATGATTAAGCCTATGAATACTGTACTACAGCTAAACAGCTTGGGGAAATGTAAGTATTTGGCTTCAATAATTTACATGTTAGAAATGTATGTGTAATAGCATAACCTCTCATAATTCTTCATTGATTCTTTTCTGATGATTAAATCATAACCTTACAAGAGGTGACTGTTCGATTCATCATCTAATGCACATCAATTGATTAACTTAAAGCACAATGTATATAATAAGTGTAAATAATTTAATTGTCTTCATAGCTCCATTGTAGAAGTTGTTAAGAAGACCGCAACTATTTTAATGAAACTATAACACTAATAGCCTATTTTAGGCAAACTTGGTTCAAAAGCCTATTGAAATGTCTCAATTTTTGTCATCCTAATCTTAGCCTACGTGATAGTATCTTAATCTTGGCCTATGTGACAGTAATTTCCATTAGTTTTAATTTACAGTGCAGTGCAAATGAAGGCATCCCTGATAGCACACATCCATCACAGAGACGTCTATTTGATGTCGTTTACATCTGCAAGACGTATTTTTTAGAGTGTTTGCTCATCTGCAATACGTCTATAGGACGTTTCCTATCAGACGTCAAATAGACTTTTAGAAGATGTCTTTAAGATGTTTATGATTTAGAATGAATGTAAAACTGACATCTTAAAGACGTCTATCAGATGTTTGTACACAGCAGATGCTCGGTCTGCGTAGAATTGACGCGCTGTTAGATTTTTGGAGAGGTGCACATCAGGCTACGGCGTATGGGTGTGCGTCTATGCGTAAGCTACGGCGTAGGTCCGACGCAGAAGTATAAATCAGCCTTTATAGCTCTCGCAGTACTTTGATGACACACCCATCGGTCTAAGCAGCGCTGCTTCAAGTCGAGCGCGGGCCATCAGCAGAAAAAGAAAATAAATAAAACAGTAAACAGCCAAAGGACGTAACTTAGAATGGGAGATGGATCGGTTTGTGAAAGGGAAGAGAAAAGCCATAGATGAAGTCGCACAGACCCAGGCAGGTGCTGATCATTTAAAAGCTAAATGCAGAAAATATGACGAGGCATGTCTTGCTCTCGGCTACACTCACCGTGTCTATACCGGACGCTACAGTTGTCGCGTCGCACCGCAACAGCTCTACACTGGACGCGACAAAGCGACCGTTGCAAATCATTTTAACTTTGTGTCAGTACGTCATAAATAGAACAAGGCACCAGTTTAATGTTGGATTTTGTCGCGCCGCGCTGCATCCAGTGTACACAGCGTCACTGATTATAACGGTTCTACTGTATTTTGCCGCTCGCGTACGGTGTAGACACGTGTTTAATGTCGTTTCACGTGAAGACGTGTGACCAGTAGAAGATCGATACGTCACTGCGTGACCTCTCTGTACAGAAATTCAAAAATGGAGGAAGCGCTAATTTTAGCCGTAGTGCAGCGTCCTATTTTATATAATACATCTTTAAAAGATTATAAAAATCAAATAAAAAAAGAAGCTGCATGGTTCGCGGCGTCAATGAAAACAGGAACAGACGATATATATATATAGAGAGAGAGAGAGTACAATATAATTGCTATACACAAGTGTATTATTATTAAATTACTTAATGTTGTTCGTTATTTTATATTTATATTTTCAGAATCATTTTAAAATGAATTTTGCCTATTTAAAGGGAAAAACCTACAGCACTTAAAGCACAGCACTTA